TTTCATTTGGAATATTAGGCCCACTCATTCCCATTCATTTCTTCATTCTGTGCGCTTTCAATGAATTTTCATTAGGAATATTAGACCCACTCATTCCTTATTCTCTGCGCTTTCAATGAATTTTCATTAGGAATATTGAACCCACTCATTCCCATTTCATTCCTTATTCTGTGCGCTTTCAATGAATTTTCATTAGGAATATTGAACCCACTCATTCCCATTTCATTCCTCATTCTGTGCGCTTTCAATGAATTTTCATTAGGAATGTTGAACCCACTCATTCCCATTTCATTCTTTATTCTGTTCATTATAGGAATTTCCTTCCTGGCCCTTTCCTTTTCATAATTGATCACATGCTTCTTCATCGGGAAAGTGACGCGGAAATATTTCATTGCCCCTGTTGAATACTTTCATTGTGCTCTTTCATTACATCTCCACATACTCCTAGAATTTTTCAGTAGCATCACATGCCACGTTCAATCTAATATTCACACAGCAAAAAAAATCCAGTTTTAACTACCACGGCCAGCATGATTCTACGGTATTAACGAGAGTGTTAAGCTACTGATACGAGAGTTTTCATCTACTGATATCTATGAGTAACGAGATGGTGGAGGCAACAATGATTTAACCCGAACGATGCCTGAAGCAAACAAAGTATTAGGTAATAATAAAAAAACGAGAGCTTCTCAAACATACCTCTTGGCCTTAGCTGACTGTGTAGCATCAACGGTGCCATCGTCACGACCTCGCTTTGTCCCCTGAGAGCTAGACAAAGCCTTCTTGTAGACCTGATCAATGACCCACCGGACATCACGCACCGCCGACCATGCACGCAAAGAGAGAGGTTCAGCAGGTAATGCCCCCCACCATGACAGAGCTACTACGACCGTGTAGAGCCCAGCTGATCCACCTTTATGTAGTAGACGCCAGTCTTCACCATCCGGGACATCATAGATGAAAGTGGCATCGTCGGTGAGTCTCCACTGTGGTTGGATGGCAATCCACCAAGCCATGAACGAAGAACCAAACTCGTCGGCGTCGATTTCGGGCGGCGAGTCCTTCTTCTTACTCCTGATCCACGCCGCTACTTCATCAGGACGCGAAGTGGTTGGCAGTTTCTGCAAAGGAGAGTAAAGAGGTATTAGTTAAAGATGTTCGTTACATCACAAAATTAAAACGTACGCCGGTAGTTGGATTTAAGGCTTCGAACTTGAAGAGAGAGGTTATGAGATCTTGCCAGGCTTTCTCCTTCGAAACCCCGTGCAGGTAATCTGACATATTCACATTATGCAGCCAGGCCGGCAGAGGCGTCGCAGTGTCGGTGGTATCTCTAACGTCACTGTCGACGTCCATTTGCGAAACTGTTGAGGTCGGAGTTGAAGGTTGTGTTGAAGTCGAGACCTTGTACATGGCAGGAGTTTCAGACTCAGAGGCAATTGATGACGCAGAAGGGGTAGGCTTGATGAGGGGTCCAACGCCGATTGCAGGAGGAGAGCCACCAAAATCGTCGGAAGTGTGAGCTGGCTTAAAGGAAGGGGTAGGCTCGACGAGGGGTCCAACGCCGGTTGCAGGAGGAGAGGCACCAAAATCGTCGGAAGAAGTGTGAGCTGAATCGACCAGTGCAGAGGGAGAGGCATCAATGTGGTTGGAAGGAGAGGCGTTGACATGGTCAGAAGTAGACGCCGTCACGTCATTTTCAATCTCCGCAGGAGTACTGATGCTACGAGTGAGATTGGCCTCTGCGACATTGCCCACGGTCCCAGAGGACTGGATGGGAACTGTGATTGAAGGGCTNGGTGCCTTCATTCGCAGCAGGTTCGGTGTC